ATTGGTTAAGTTCGATAGCAGCACACATCTTTCGAATAAAACTGCTAATAAAAAGCAAACACGTCGAACAATTGCCACATGTTTCAAGGAATATAAAAACACAACAAACAAAATTAAAAAAAAATAAATAAATAAAAAAATTACTATAGAAAATAAGCAATCGAATCGCATGTGTTCAATAGAAATCCTTGATCCTTAAGAAATATACAAAAACAAAACACAAAGTGCAAATCACAGTCTGCACAAAACTGCTGAGCCAAGTTTATTTATTGCACAAGGAAAAGCTCAGGACGCAACGAGGTGGAAAACGTAAGTTCGTACGTTTCTGAAAGCATCCGAGCAGGAGTGCACACGTAACGAGAAGGCAGGAATGCTAATATGTCAACAACAGCACAAAAGCACACAGGATATAAGACAAAAACGTATTCTTAATTTAATTGAAGGATTCGCCATTTTTCACTTTATTATAATTCTATCAGTCGATGGCAGTTAGCAGATAAAGCAGCGGAAATTAGTTAAAAATTAACCAAACAGAAAATTTGATAGGTTTTTGCGCGTTTAGTGGAGTTACTTATTATCAGCTTTCATTCGCAGGTACCAAAATTCTGCAAAAAGCTATTTTCTGTGCTCCGATGGATTTTCATAGAAGTGTGTAAAGATTTTAATTATAATTTATCGCTTAAACGTGTTACGAACGGAATAACTGTGATTTATTAAAAGCAGTGGTTCCCAACCTTTTTTTGATCAAGGACAACTTATGAATCATAAACTATGGGATTATTTTAATATGGTTTAATAGATCTCTGGTATAATGTATAATGAATTTTATAAATGTATAGGGACATTCTATCCAGAACAGGTGTGATCCACCAAAAGACACACCAAAAGAAAATTTGCGTAGTTTCGGTAGATTAGAAACATGTCACGGGCCGCACAAACATTAGTCGCGGGCCACATGTGGCCTGTGATCCGTGTTTTCGCCTTGATATGGGCTATAGAATATGTATAATTACTTGGAAATTTTTTGTGCTTTTTTTCTAACAAGTGAAGTCTCAGCAGTAACTATAAACTGAAACCTATGTATTCATATCTGTTAAATTTGATACACGGACAATTTTTAACCATTTGACGAACTACCGATTGGGTACCACCAACTACAAAGAAAGGATTTGGCAAAACTTCATTTTTTTTTAGACGGATTCGAATAGCAAAAAAAGGACAAAGACAAAAATTTATTTAATTTATTTAATTTATTAAAATTTGGCTGATCATACAACGCTGTTTCGAGCATTACCAAGTACTCATCTCCAGTGGTCTTAGGAAATAATCGAGTTTTTTAATTAGTTTATAGTCCGTATATAAATTATTTGGATTGCATGTGTCAGGTTATGGACTCGTGTCTGTCAAATTAGAAGGGATGACTAATCGTTCCAGGTTCTAGGTTTTTTTTGTCACTTTTTTATTTAATTAGTGACATTAACCAAAGCACTTGCCGTGCTTTAGAACGAGTTTATAAACTACAGCTTTATTTGGAAACACAAGTTAAACGAATTGAAAGTTAATTTTTGAAGTTGCCTATTTCTGTTTCAAAACTATTCTTTTTGTGAATACATCTGTTATGCATATTTTTTACTTACTACGAGTATATGTAAAGCATCTTTTTTGGGTGCAATTTAACAAAGAAGCTATGCAAATGTTTGTATTGTTCATATTTCCAATAATTCTAATTTTTAATATTAGTTTTTAATGTTAATCTCTGCTGTTAAAGTACAATCAATTTTAAATACAATTTCATATTTAATTTTCTGATCCTTTCAAAACTTGTCAAATATGAATTCACAATATTTTCAAACCCTTGCCATGCCACATCCTTATTATCCTTTCCTACGAATACACGGACACACTCTATCATATTTTTTATTAATTAAACAAAATGTGTTGGTAGTCATAACTTCTGTCGGAAATTGTAAAATAATTTACAAAAATTACTTTACACATTTAATCACTTATTTGCACTCTCATTGTCGAGCAGCTGTTGCCTTGTTTCCTTAACAACTTCTTGGTTAATATTATTCGCTTTTAAACAATATTTACTTCCGGTTTGAAAAGCATAAAGGTTAAATTTGAGCCATTTTGGTTGTTTTCTTAGGAGTGCTTAGGAGTATTTTATAATTTAATGATTGCTTGGATTTCATGTTAAGCAACAATATTCGCCATATTTCGAAAAGGAGTCTATTTTAATCTATGTAATGGATCCCCTCATAAATATTACTTAAGGTTAGAACAATGCCATAAAATTTTATTAGCATTTTTATTGTTGTTAATAAAAATAAAACTCCGGCTGCCGAAAACATTTTCATGTCCTTTGCCTATTCCAGCAAAGGAAAAGGGTTCATTAGGTATTGTCAGCGGCAGCAATTATTGATTTTACTTATTTATTTGTTTAAATTGACAAAAATGACTTTACTGATATAAATAACTTTGAAGGAGGTTGGCTATTTTAACTTTAAATATTGGCATCATGGACAAGAGAACAAACCAGAAATGTCGAACGCAGCTGCTAAAAATTCGATTTAACCGGAAAGTAAAATTAATGACGAAACAAATAGAAGAATTTTGCATGCTTAACTTTAATAAAAGTTATGACAAAATATAAATAATTATATATAAATACCATATATATCAATTATTTAATGCAATTAATTAATTTTATTTTAAAATTATAAACTTGTTGATATTGTTTAAAATTTATTTTTTTTTTTAAATTTAAATTAAATAAACTGCATATTTAACTTATATATTTATACTTAAAAATAGTCAAATATTTTTAATATTAACTTTTTTTTGCCGAAAATGACAAAAAGAAACTATTTATAAGTTTGAACGGTTTAAATAGAAATGAAAAGACAACAACAAATATTTAGTTAATTTATTGAAATTAAACTTACCATTTAACGCTGTTTCGAGTGTTGCCAAGTACTCATCATCAGTGGTCTTAGGAAGCACTCTAATTTTTTAATTAGTTTATAGTCCGTAATCGGTTGAATGGTCAGCCAAAGTTCAATAAATTAACTAAAAATTTTGTTGTTGTCTTCTAGTTTCTATTCCTTCTAATAATGCAATATTATCATGTTCTTAAGAAAATTGGAAGAAATCTCAATAAAATACCATCAAAGACTGAGTAATTACGTTTACCCATCAGTATGTTCAGTAAAACAAATTAGAAAACACAAAAGGCACTACCTTTAATATCTCTGTTATGAAAAAAAAACCTAATTAGAAAGATTGCAAGACTGATTTACGTATGCTAAAACGTCACAGTCTATAAAAGCACTTGCATAGAAGGCATGAGTTACTAATATATGCATATGCTATTATTGTTAATATTAGCCTAACGAGTTAACCCAAAAAAAATCTCATGGACCTAATTTTCATCTTCAAATTGCTGCTAAAACGCAACAAAATTTACCCATTTTAAAAGCGGTTGTTGTTGCAATGAAAAGTGATAATATATCACTTAGGACAACGTCAAGCGAAAACGGTCATGGTCGAATCGCGGTAAGCTGGTTAAAATGACTGCTAAGCCAGGATTGACGGTCAGGAAATTTTAGTTGTGTGCTCATAATCATCTACTATGAACTGCTCTCCTAAGGCAAAACTCTTAACTCGGAACTGTACTGTCCGTTTGAACCGTCAGGAAGATATAATTGCCCAAAAACGACCAGCTTTGTGCAATAGAGGAGGAATTGTGCTCCATCAGGACAACGCCAGCCGACACACATCGATAATGACTCGCCTAAAGCTTCGGGAGGTTGGTTGGGACGTTCTTATGCATCCATCTTATTGTCAAAATATGGCACCTAGTAATTACCATCTGTTTCTGTTCATGGCGAACGATGCACAATTTTTCAGCTGAAAAATTCGCTTCATGAGAGGATTATCAAATTCGACTGTCTTAATTTTGGGCTAATAGGGACGAGGACCTCTATGAGAGAGGCATAATGTAATTAATTTTAAAATGGTGACAAGTTATCGAATACATGGCGCATATTTGATCTAAATCGAATCATTCTAATTGTGGTAAATAAGCGTTCAATTTCATTAAAAAATAATGGATTTTTTTTTAATACAGCTATTAAATATTCTATTATATTAATTTCTTTATAAAGTTATGTTTAGCGACATATATGGTTCCGATTTTTTTTCTTAGACAAACAACAGCAGCAATGCCATTTTTATTTCTTATAACTGCTATGAACACAAATTTATTGACTTTAATAGTTATACATTTTTTTTAATTCCCATGATTAATAGGTAACTGGTCTGCAGTTACCAGATCTCAGCAAAACAGATTGGTGCTTGAAGTGGCAGAAAAGATTTTAAATATAACTAAAGTCAGGTATGCAGAACCAATCTGCATTGCATGACTCTTTATATGCTATGGTTCTAAAATATATATCACCTTTATATAACTATTCTTTAATTTCAATGCTTTATATAAAAAAATTTTCAATTCTGCTCACATCAATTTATAAACACTTGATGTATAGCTTCTTTATATGGTTAGGTGAATGGACTGGTCATCACCATCGTCAACTCAGATTAATGAAAAATAGATCTAATGCATTTTAAATGCATTCTAAAGTTGATCAATTTCAATTTTAGTTTGTTAATGCACTGCGTTTTATTATTGTATATATACAATAAGTTTGTGATCTGATAATTATATATATAATTATATTTCTGATGTTTAAGATATACAGAGACGAACATAATTATTGAAACAGTCATCTTGTTAAACTCCTAACTGTTTTCACTAGTATAGCGATTTTTAATTAACAATAAATTTTATAGATAGTATGCTTAATTTGCGAATAAAATCATTTTGTTTCATTACATTATCTTTTATATTTAAAAATCTTATAAATATTTTATAAACACTTTTCGTTCAAATAAATATTTGGTTTATAAAGCATTACATATTAAATATTTTATTCCAAAGTTATGATATGCTTATCACTGAAATATTATCATATAATAATCAACAACATATAAAACTACATAGTTTTATTCTGCTGCAGATGATTTTTCTGAAATTAAGAGAATATCCTTCTTACTTTGAATTTCCACAGCTTCAGTGATTTTCTTTTGTGTAACGCATTTAGTTCCATCAATAGCTAATGCTGTTAAATGAAATAAAATAAGGGTATGAGTGATTAAATTAAAAAAAAAAGTATTATAATAATTTTTTCTATATAGTCAAATATCTGTTGAAAAAAGCTGCAGTTAAACAATAATCGTTCATTCTAGTGTCGGAACAAAAGAGGTTGTCTTTCCAAAATTTGACAAAAACAGCAAGCAGCTGTGCCAAATTTGTTAATCGAAAAAAGGTGACCACTCAATAGTTAGAATTGTATTCATTGCACTTTATTTTAAAGAAATTATGTCATTTTGTTCCATTAATTAAACATAATAAATTACCTTTATCGATTATTTGGGCCACAAATAACTTTGAAACAGTAGATGCGCCAGCAACTGCCCTCTCTGTTATTCTTTTGACAAATTCTTCTTGCATGACTTTCCTTATATTATTTTTTGCAAAACTACAAGTCCTATAGGTTTCTAAATTACTCAACTGCTCATCTGATAATTTAGATAATAAATAACTGTAAATACATAATTATTAGATTTATAAACTTTCCAAGTGTATAATATAAAACGTACGTAAATTTTTCGTTCTCAATTATGGATTTTTCCAAAAGTTTATTATATTCGCCATTGTCTTCCTCAACTTTCTTTTTCACTTGCGTGGATCTTTTGACAACAGAGCTCGAACAACATGGTTGCATATCCAAGTTGCCAGAACTTTTCGTATTACCTATTCTTTTCCTTTTGTGCCTAGAAATATTGATTTTTACGATAAATTAGTTTAACATCAAAAAACGCATTTATGTATATAAAATTTACCCAAATGTTTTCTTTTCCATTTCCTCCGATTCTTTCAAAAGTTGCTTGTCTTCACCATTATCTTCCTCAGCCTTCTCTTTTAATTGCGTGCAACTTTTGACAACAGAGTTCGAGCAGAATGGTTCGATATCCAAGCCGCTAGCTCTTTCAGTATTACCTATACTTTTCCTTTTGAGACTAGAAATATTGATTTTTACGATTAATCAGTTTACCATTAAAAAACGTATTTATGTATATAATATGAAATTTACCCAAATGTTTTCTTTTCTTTTCCTTCCGATTCTTTCAAAATTTGCTTGTCTTCACCATTGTCTTCCTCAGCCTTCCCCTTGAATTGTGTAGAACCTTCGACAACAGAGTTCGAGCAACATGGTTGGATATCCAAACCGCCAGCACTTTTTGTATTACCTATTCTTTTCCTTTTGAGCCTAGAATCAGTTTATCATTAAAAAACGCTTTTATGTATATTAAATGAAATTTACCCAAATGTTATCTTTTCCTTTCCTTCCGATTCTTTCAAAAGTTGCTTGTCTTCACCATTGTTTTCCTCAGCCTTTCCTTTCAATTGTGTGGAACTTTTGACAACAGAGTTCGTGCAGAATGGTTGGGTATTCAAGCCGCCAGCACTTTTTGTATTACCTATACTCTTCCTTTTGAGACTAGAAATATTGATTTTTACGATTAATCAGTTTATCATTAAAAAACGCATTTATGTATATAATAAAAAATTTACCCAAATGTTTTTTTTTCCTTTTCGTCCGATTCTTTCAAAAATTGCTTGTCTTCAGCATTGTCTTCCCCAGCCTTTTCGTTGAATTGTGTGGAACTTTCGACAACAGATCTCGAGTAGCATGGTCTGATATTCAAGCCGCCAGCACTGTTTGTATTACCTATTCTTTTCCTTTTGAGCCTAGAAATATTGATTTTTACGATTAATTAGTTTAACATCAAAAAACGCATTTATTTATATAATATAAAATTTACCCAATTTTCTTCTTTTCCTTTTCCTCCGATTCTTTCAAAAGTTGCTTGTCTTCACCATTGTCTTCCCCAGCCTTCTCTTTTAATTGCGTGCAACTTTTGACAACAGAGTTCGAGCAGAATGGTTCGATATCCAAGCCGCTAGCTCTTTCTGTATTACCTATACTTTTCCTTTTGAGACTAGAAATATTGATTTTTACGATTAATCAGTTTATCATTAAAAAACGTATTTATGTATATAACATGAAATTTACCCAAATGTTTTCTTTTCTTTTCCTTCCGATTCTTTCAAAATTTGCTTGTCTTCACCATTGTCTTCTTCAGCCTTCTCTTTTAATTGCGTGCAACTGTTGACAACAGAGTTCGAGCAACATGGTTGGATATCCAAGCCGCCAGCACTTTTTGTATTACCTATTCTTTTCCTTTTGAGCCCAGAATCAGTTTATCATTAAAAAACGCATTTATTTACCATATATAATATGAAATTTACCCAAATGTTTTGTTTTCATTTTCTTCCGATTCTTTCAAAAGTTGCTTGGCTTCATCATTATCTTCCTCACCCTTCTCTTTAAATTGTGTGGAACTTTCGACAACAGAGTTCGAGCAGAATGGTTGGATATCCAAGCTGCCAGCACTTTTTGTTTTACCTATTCTTTTCCTTTTGAGACTAGAAATATTGATTTTTAAGATTAATCAGTTTGTCATTAAAAAACGCATTTATGTATATAATATGAAATTTACCCAATTTTTTTCTTTTCCTTTCCTTCCGATTCTTTCAAAAGTTGCTTGTCTGCACTATTGTCTTCCCCAGCCTTCTCTTTCACTTGTGTGGAACTTTTGACAACAGAATTCGAGCAACATGGTTGGATATCCAAGCTGCTCACACATTGTTTAGCACCTCGTTTTTTGAATTTAGGCATAGGAGTTCTGTTTTCTTAAGCTTATTATTATTTGTTCTTTATTATTTATATTACAATATCGTACTACAATTCGTTTTCCGTAACTAAT